AGAGCACCGGAAAAGACGCATTAGAGCCGGTACCAACTCCATAGCACACGTCCTCAGCACATTTGGGGATATAATGTGGATGTCCAGGGAGGAGTGCCTTGCGAACCGAGCGCTGTGAGAACCGCACATCCGGCATGGAGCACTCACACCGCGGGATGGTCGGCGGTGTGTTTTCTGCGGGTGTCTTCCCTGTGCAGAGATGGCAGTAATTGCTTACAGAAATTCCCTTGGACAGCCTTGGCAAGAAACCAGAATGTACGGGTTCCCGAAGGAAGGCGAACTAGTTTCTACGCCAATTCTGCCTATGTGCTCTGACTTTGCCTTGGCAATAATTCTTTTGAAGGACCTGGAGGCGAAGTTCTACTTCTTTTTAAGCATGCTGGTATTTACATCCCGAGCCGCCGAAGCCTCAGCCCAGGCCTGATAACACTCCTGCTTATTGCGTAATGCAGTCTTCTAGGAGCGACCAAACCAAAGCTGAGATCTGCCTCCGATGGGTACCACAGATGATGGAATAAATAGTTCCATTCCCTTTAGCACCACATCAGTGACAGAGACAGTGTCCAGACCACATCAGTGACAGAGATCAGTGTGCCGACCTCTCATCCGTCCGGATGAGAGGTCAGCATAAGGTCCAACAGGAAAGGTGTATGATCCTCCACATCTGGAATCCACGTAGGCGAAGTAACCAGTTGTGTCAGATCATATGCCAAGGTAAAGTCATAAACAGATCTCCGCGCATGATCGGTTAAACGTGAACCGAGCCTTTCGGCGTGGTGGGCGTTAAAATCGCCAAGGATCACGATCTCTGCGGATGGGACCTGTTGTAGCAAGGAATCTGTAGCCATTTGGACGTGGTCGATGAGTCGGTCTGTTTCGGCATTACCACTATGGGACCTATAGAGATATATATACCCATAGACACGCGGATGGTCGTCGCTGTCTACGCGTAGCCAAAGGATGGACAGGTCCGAACCTTCAAGACTGCCGAGAACAGATGTCCTCTCTGACGTATACGCAAACTCCAGCCCAAGGCACAAAGGAGTGTTCCAATTTGTACCCCGGGTAGGAGAGATACGAGACTTAGCGGTTAGCCACCGTAGAGTCTATATCACCTGAGGATGCCTCGTGTAGAGGCGAAGCACGTGTCGTATTATCGTCAGTGGTGTGTCTTGCCTAGTGTAGTGGTGTTGAGAGTAGCGGTGCTGGGATTAGTGGTGACGGGGATAGTGCACGCAATTGAGGGAGGGCGGGAGGTGCTCCTCATACTAGGTAAGACACATCATTTTGTTTTATAACGCAGATATTTGCGAAGTAAATTTTTCTAAAAGCTTTTAGATACGAAGTATCAGCCGGAGAGGACACCTGCGTGTCGGTCAGAAAGAGCAAGGCCGGCTTCACCGTCTGTAGATGGTAGTGGAGTTTAGGTTCGAGTCAAGTCCCCTAATGTATATATAGGTCGCCTGTTTTGTTGCTCAGTTTGTCCCGAGCAGTTATTGTTTTGGGCGGAAATTGCCCACTGCATATTCATTCTCTTTGTATGTTTATGTATTAAACATATGGCTTCCCCGTATTATATTGCCTCATAGGATAATTTTGCCATAGTTTCCGCGATTGACAGGCGTTACTGTTTCATTTACCTCTGTCATCTCTTACGACACCAACGGGATGATTTTTATAAAGAATAATGAATTAACAACCGTATGTAGCATATACAATGTGTAACAAAAACCCTGTGGTTCCTTTTAAGTGCGTTATCAGAGTCAATATTCAAACGTAAAGAAATAACTTTTTTCAAAAAAATTTGAACACCATATTTAATTTTAATAAAAAAAAAATAATTTGCAAATTGTATCTGGTTTTACTATCTCTAACTGACACGAGCATCGGTGAAGAGGGGGTCTTTCACAATCCTCTTCTCCGGATTATGCAGATGTAATAAAACCACATACAATATGCAAATTATTTTATGTTAATTTAAATTAGTTTTTTTAATGTTCAAGTTTTTTGAAAAAATTTTATTTCTTTACGTTTGAATATTGGGTGTGACAACGCAGTTAACGGGAACCACAGGGTTTTTGTTACATGTTGTATATATGGTGAAAAATATTCAAATAGCTGAGCGGCTTGCTAATTAAATAACTGCTGGTCTGTGGTTTTTTGCGTTGTCAATGGATCCCATACACGCCAACAGTCCCGCGGAATTTCACTTCTGAACATACATAGGTGTCCCCTAAGGAATGCGTCACACGGACTGCAGCCACGTACTTTCATCGACTTCCTGCATGTTTCCCAGATCTGCACTCCAACTAGTGGAGTGTCGTCTTACACTTTTTTGAATATGGTAGAGCCACGCTTTAGTTATATTGTGGTTGTTGCACGAATGTGTCGTGGTCCACCGGGGTAGGACCACGCTCTTACCGAATACTAGCATATAATAGCAGCTTAACGCTGCTGTGTTTCGTATGGTGAGTGTAGAGAACCCGATACCCTATTTACCGGAAACGAGGCATTTCATCTTAATCCTCAGGGGTGACAACGCATCTGCATATTCATTCTTAATCGTGGATAAATTCAGATGCCTATATGCCATCCACTTATTATCAGGTGGACTGTGTGCTGGTTTGTCACCCTTATTCTATATAAAAAAAGAACTCTAACCGGTACGAGGCTACCAGTGATTATTTATTTAGTAGGAATTATTGCTTTTATAAAATAAATATATCATGCATCATTTATACAAGAAGAATAAACACACATTTAAATTATTAAATTTTAGTTTTGTTATAAATTGAAAGACCGATAAAATAAAACATTTACCTAAGCTAATAAAGTGATGTAGTAAAGAAATAGAAACCTTCATCTATAAATATAAATTTAATTACAGATTCCCTCGTGTTTCTTCCCACAGTCGGAGGTAAGGAGATAATCATGTATCAAAACTATACATTTTCGTATGGCAACAATAAACGGAGTCTGCGCTGCTCGAAAATGTTCCGTGGGAAGTGCAAGGCTCGGATCAACCTGGATCCAGACGGCAATATAACATCAGCACACCCTTGTCACAACCACCCGCCACCAATGTATTTTAAAACTGCCCAGGGATTGTATATTAAAGTTCAAACTTAATCTTTGCATTATTTATTTCTGCGTTAAATTCTTTCTTTTACATCTCAGTTTTTAATTTAATACATATAAATAAAATTGAAGTGTATGTCTGTAATATTGAAATAACTGGCTTCTATTAATCTCCTGAGATTATGAAACACAAGAAGTACCAAGAATTCCTGAAATAATTAACGCTTATCTAAAAAAATCAATGATATTGATATCTCAACGGTTAGTCGTGCGACTGTCACCTGTGTACACAAGTGCAGGACGTGGTCGACAGAATTGGAAGGGGTGATCAGCGCCGAATCGCGAGCAAACCAACAGCAACACCTCCCATCTCAATGCAACACAGGGCAACCTCCCAACAACACGATCTTCCTCTGCTACACTAGTAGAACACGCCAACGGGCATAGTAACGACATTAAGACTCGTAGAATTACGACTGATCCCTCCATAGAGTAGAATAATATATACCGGAAGATCCCTCTTAGTCACCTGCACGATACTTTATACTGCTAGAAAGGGTGGGAAATTACAGTTCTACCTTCATATGTTAGTATTTCCTTTTTTTTACCCTCATTCCCAACAGTATGTTATCATTCTATTTGTTTAATAAGCTGCAATGAACTTCACAGTTTATTTAAAAAAAATGGCGGTAGCCACAAATTTGACGCATAGGTTTTTTTGTGTAGTATTACTGTGATATATGTGTGTGTGTACAATAATACTACACAAATTTAAATTGGTCAAAATGCAGTGTAAATTATGACGGCTTGGATTTATTTTAAAATTATTACTCATTTTTAAGAGTACTTACATAGACTTCATACATACGTTCTAAAATTTAGACTTGCATATGAACGGAATATTTATTAGGAATTACAATTATTATTACAATTAAATAAAATTAGCCTGAAAAAAATTTTTTTTCTGTCTTATAAATTCAAAGTTTTTTCTTTCTCGATCCCATCGATTCGAAAATGCTGTTCGATGACGGTTGGTGGTGATGATCGAAAATGGTTGTTTGTTTGCAGTGTAACAACCCACACTGCACGGTTTTCTCTTTCATATTATGCCCAGATTGATAAATGATAAACCCCACTTGGACTACAGTCAGATAGCTGCACAGATAGTGAACAGACACTGATCACCTTTATTTTTCGTTTTTTAGTAATAACATCATCCAAAAGTGAAAGTGCTCGTTTATATAGTGCAGGCAATCACAAGTATTTTTCTTGACTTGATTTTGCAGTACAACGATATAAAAACCTAAATTAATAATACCACTATCATTGTTCATTGTACCACTGATATATCTCCGTCTCTCTCATCTTGTAGCTTTGTTGGAAGATGCTTATGCCAGCGGTTTTCTCAGAAAACAAAAAGCCATGCGGTGGACTGTTTATAGACTAATGACAAATTAAATGCAACATATTACTGTAGTGATTGGCGTACGTCATCTGCAAACGTGCTGTGTATCTCAATGTTCCTTATGCATTATTGCTTGTAGTAATTGCAGAAAATAACTTTTTTAATAGAATACTTTGTTATTTTTTAGAGTGCTTCCAAATAAATAAATTACAAACAATATTTATTTAATTTATGATAAACTTAATTGAAGATGAGAACTTATTAAGGTGAATCGAATCGCCGATCGATCCGCCGTTATTTTGCGGAAGTGTGCGATGGCGTACCTAAGAGAAATCGTCAATTTTTTTTAAAACGTTACCTCTACACTAGGATTTTTTCAATCCAGACCCGGATCAATATTTGTAGGTCAAACAAATATTTGTGCTGTGCGGGATTTCATCCCGCGGCCCTTTAGCGGTACTGCTCATAGCTAAGCCGTTACGCCACGTATACAATATTATTGTATCTTGCCAGAAATATGCAATGGCGCCGGATAAATGGCTTTAAGATCATTCTAATCAAGGAAAAAAAACATGTAAATGTAAAGATCTTAGAACACTCCCTACACGAACTGTTTAAAAATGTTTGTTCAGATTTTAACACAGTTTATTTGTTTTCAGACAAAATTCAAATTCTACCAACATTAGGAGGAAAGACAATAGTTATGTATCAAAACTACACATTCTCGTTTATGAATGGTAAAAGAAATTTGCGGTGTTCTAGAAAACTGACGATGAAGTGCGATGCTCGACTGACTCTGGACGCTCAAGGCAACATTGTCTCTGCTTTCACTAAGCATAATCACCCGCCGCCAAAGTTCCATCGAACATCAGAAGGACTATATATTAAAGTACAATAAATTTGCAGAAGCCAGTATTATCTACATTATATAAGAAATATCCTCTAAAACTTAGCAGCTGTTAATGTGTTCTATTATCTTTCTTCTTTATTTATCTACTTTTTTATTTTACTGCCAGTAGTAGTACAAATAGTATACGTTTATACGTGGTAGAACCATGCTGCAGCTATATTATGGTTGTAGAACGAATGGGTCGGCTCGACCGGCGTAGGACCACGCTGTCACAGAATACCAACGTAAAATAGCAGCTTAACGCTGCTGTGTTTCGTTTGGTGAGTGCAGAGAACCGGAGACCCTTTTTCCTGGAAACGTGGCATTCCATCTTAGTCCTCACGGGTGACAACGCATTTGCATTTTGATTCTTAATCGAAGATAGATGTAGATGTCTATGGGCCACAGCAACCACTTACCATCAGGTGGACTGTGTGCTCGTTTGTCGACCTTATCCTATAAAAAAAACGTTACAGTAAGTAATAGTAGTAAGTAAATGTACCTCATGATAAAAAGAAATATACAAGTATATGCAAATGTTGCTGACCGCCCTAATAGCCTAGTGCCTAGTATCGTCAACGTTCATTTTGTGCTATTACAAGGAATGTCGAATTAATATTAACTTGCAAAATAATATATTATTCTTTATTAAAATATTATATTCTGTAAGGTTTAGGCTTAGTTCAAAGGTCCTTGTACCATTAGTTCAGATTAAGGTAAAGCGTGTCTGTTTAAAAATACAATAATAAATTATTCGTGAATGCATTGGAAATAAATGCTTTGATTTATGAACTCTTATTTAATTCTGAATATTTTTCCATATTTTATGGGCACGTGGTTAAGATAAAAATGATCTAAGTTCAACCAACGTTTAGGTACAAAGTGGTTTATATATGCCTGAGGTAAAGCTCTATATCTTCACATAGCAAAAACTATGGAATTTATTAAATGAAATATGAGAGAAAGTGCTGTTGCACATCTACTGTTTCACATCCACCTGTCACCTCTTGTGACACCTACGGTATGCGTTATTAAAGGATAATGAATTAACATCCGTATGTAGTTCACAACTGAACATAGGTGTTCCCTAAGGAATGCGACACACGGACTGCAGCCACATACTTTCATCGACTTTCTGCACGTTTTACAATTATATATAATAATAATATGAATAATATAATAATAATAAAAAAATTAAAATTACAATAGAATACTTTGTTATTTTGTGGAGTGCTTCGAAATAAACTAATTTCAAAATTAATGTAATTTGTGATAAACTTAACGTTTTCAGGCGTTATTTTGCGGAAATGTGTGATGGCGTCGGATAAATGGCGGCAAAAGTATTTCGCATTACTATCAATACTACCAATTTTTGGCGATTAATGCAAAAAATCTGTAAATGTAAAAATATAACAAATCCTAAACACTCCCTTTGTTTTCTCAGTTCACTTTTGTTTTTTCAGATTTTAACACAGTTTATTGGTTTTCAGACAAAATTCAAGTTTTACCAACATTAGGAGGAAAGACAATAGTTATGTATCAAAACTACACATTCTCGTATATGAATGGTAAAAGAAATTTGCGATGTTCTAGAAAAGTGACGATGAGGTGCGATGCTCGACTGTCTCTAGACGTTCAAGGAAACATTGTCTCCGCTTTCACTAAGCATAATCACCCGCCACCAAAGTTCCATCGAACATCAGAGGGACTATATATTAAATTACAATAAATTAGCAAAAACCAATATTATGTAAAGTATATAAGAAATATCCTCTAAAATTAAGTTGCTGTGTTTCATCATGCATCTACTCCATTTATCTACTTATTTATTTTATTGCAAATAGTAGTACAAATAGTATATATTACAGTAAGTAGTAGTAGTAATGTACCTCATGATAAAAAGAAATATATGCAAATGTTGCTGACCTGATGAAACCTGGGTTCGAATTCCGTATCGGCGCGAAATAATCAGTTATTGATGATGTTTAACCTTAGTACTTTAGGCAAACGTAAAGACTATCAATTCGATGTGAATTTTGTGCTATAATATATCATAGATTGTTGTTTCCACTCTACATTGACAAGCCATGTCGAATTAACATGCTAGTCTTGGAATATAACATATTATTTTTTATTAAAATATTCTATTCTGTAAGGTTTAGGCTTAGTTCAAAGATCCATGTACCATTAGCTTAGATTAAGGTAAAGCGTGTCTGTTTAAATATACAATAATAAATAATTCGTGAATGCATTTGAAATAAATGCTTTGATTTATGAACTCTTATTTCATTTTTAATATTTTTTCATATTTTATGGAGTTTAAGATAAAATTGATCTAAGTTCAATCAACGTCCAAAATGATTTATTCATGCCTGAAATAAGGGTATACTTTACGTAGTATAAACGGTGAAATCGATAAAATGAAATGTGAGACTGCATATTCATCATCTTTGCATTATTATGTATTAAACATATATGGCTGCCCCATATTATGTTGACACAAAGCAGAATTTTTGCCATAGTTCCCACGCTTGACAAGCGGGTTGGCAACCACAGTTTTTTTTAAATATGGAATTGTTATCTGGAAAGTGCTGATGCCCATCTACTGTTTCATTTCCACCTGTCGCTTCTTATGACACCCACAGTATGCGTTGTGTAAAAGATAATGGACTAATAATTCTTTTTCCTATCATGACCTTTTATACTTGTCTTACAAAATCCGTTCCCCTAAAGCTAAGTCAAGGATCCTACTTCAGCGTAACTTTAGTAACTTGGACTTGAAGCAGCTTTTAAATGACGCTCGAAAAATTGATTGGAATGTAGTCGTCAATGCTTCCACTGTTGATGAACAGGTAGCTTTGTTCAACTCTTTGTTAATTCAGCTTTATGACGTTCATGCTCCTGTTCGTCCAGTGCGTGTAAAGCATCCTCCCTCTCCATGGCTGACTGATGATATAAAAAAAATCATCCACATTAAAAATTGTGCCAAAGCGAAATACAAGTCAGTTCCTAGCGACCTGAATCGAGAGAAGTATAGATTAGTACGGAATCGTTGCAACAATCTGTGTAGAAAAGCACAACGACGCCATATCCATGAATCAGTACAAGATCCTGACCCTGCTAGGGTCTGGAAATTTCTTAAGTCTTTAGGAGTTGGGAAATTACGACAAAATTTCACTCACCTTAACTTTGATCTCAATCAACTTAATTTGCATTTCTCATCTTCGTCTTGCATTAACGATAATGCAAAACACAATACTTTGGATTCCCTTTCAAAAACTCCCGCTCCAGACACCTCTGCTTTTAACTTTAGTCAATTTAACAGTTGTGATGTTATGAAAGCCATAATGTCCATCCATTCAAATTCAATTGGTAGTGACTGCATTAGTCGGAAAATGGTCATCCCTCTCATTGATCTCCTTTCACCTGTAATCACTTCCATCCTGAATAATTCACTGAATTCTTCTATTTTCCCTTCAGCTTGGAAAGATGCATTTGTAGTTCCTCTTCCGAAAAAAGTCGAATCCGTCTAGTTTTTCTGATTATAGACCTATCTCTATCTTGCCTTTCCTTTCCAAAGTTCTTGAACGTCTTGTGCACAATCAATTAAGCATCTATCTTTTAAAACATAATCTTTTAAATCCTTTGCAATCCGGTTTCCGTCCTGGCCATAGTACGACTACTGCACTTTTACAAATCACTGATGATATTCGGTATGGTATGGAGAAACAAAAGCTTACCATTCTTACGTTACTTGATTTTAGTAATGCATTTAATACAGTAGATTTTGATATCTTGTTGGGCATCCTGCGCTTTCTCAACATATCTCCAACTGTAGTTGACTGGTTTCGAAGTTACTTGTTTGGTCGCCGACAGCGCATTCAGGTGCAAGATGTTTTTTCCACCTGGACTACTACAGCGGCTGGCGTACCACAAGGTGGCGTGTTGTCTCCTCTCCTGTTTGCAATTTTCATTAACTCTATAAGTCATAATCTGTCCTCTTCCTACCACTTGTATGCTGATGATCTCCAAATCTATACTCAATCTTCTCTTGAAGATTTGTCTAAATCAGTTGACACTATTAACGCTGATCTGACTTGTATTTCGAATTGGAGTAAACGTTATGGTTTAACGATCAATCCCAAGAAAACTCAGGCAATTATCATCGGTAGTTCTAGATTAATTGGAAAAATTGACTGGTCTTCCCTACCTCCTATTTTACTAGACTGCACTCAAATCCCTTACAGTAACAAGGTTAAAAACCTGGGGTTGTATCTCGACTCTTGTATGTCTTGGACCTCACAGATTAATGAGGTTAGTAGAAAAATGTTTGCTGCTTTAAGCTCTTTACGTAGATTACGTAATTTTCTTCCCACAGTAACTAAAGTTACGCTCGCCCAGTCTCTACTTCTACCTATCCTTGACTATGCTGACATATGCTATCTTGACATTACCGAGGAGCAGCTTAATAAGCTTGAGCGCATTCAAAATTTATGTATTAGATTCATATTTGGGCTTCGCAAATATGATCACATCTCTGAATTTCGCAAACAGCTCAAATGGCTCCCGATCCGCCTTCGCAGGAATACTCACATTCTCTCTACTTTGTATAGCGTGCTGTTTAATCCTTCCTCTCCTCATTATTTAAAAGACCGTTTCCAGTATCTTTCCCTTACCCATAATCGGTTCCTTCGATCCTCCGTCAATCTTTCTCTCTCTACTCCTTCGCACTCTTCCTCCTTTTTTAAGAAATCCTTTAGTGTAACTGCTGTACGTTTGTGGAATTCTTTACCTCTCCACATTCGTCGTGCTCAATCTCTTCATTCTTTCAAATGTCTTGTTAAATCCTATTACTTAGAACACTATTAGATAAATCACTTTTCCTTTTTCGTACTCTTTTCATTTAATCTATTATATTATATCATACATAATCTTCACTTGCCTTTATTTGTATGTATTTTATATTTTTTATTTTTATTTTGTACGCCCCCCTCTATTTTTAACTATTATTTACATCAGTTCTCTACACTAAGGTTGTCTGGAAGAAATCACTTTCAGAGTGATAAGACCGCCTGTTGTACATTTTCTTCTTTAGATTTAATTGTATTCGTTTTTGTTTTGTTTTTGTTGTACAATAAAGAGTAAATAAATAAATAAATAAATAAAATAATTGTATGTAGCATATATATATGGTGTAAAAGAATCAAATAGCTGATCGGCTTGCTATTCAAACAACTGCTGGTCTGTGGTTTTTTTTTGCGTATTTCCCATTCATTCTACAAAAAAAAATTATTTTACGAGGTTACCAGTTATTATTTGTTTGTTATGAATTCTTGCTTTTATAAAATAAAAATATACACACATTCATTTAAATTATAAAACTTAAGTTTCCTTATAATTTGAAACACCGACAAAATAAAACATTGCCATTATTTATAAAATAATCAAGTCAAAAATATAGAAACTTTCACCTTAAATAAATAAACTTAATTACAGATTCCCTAGTGTTTCTTCCCACAGTCGGAGGTAAGCAGATAATCATGTATCGGGATTATACATTTTCGTATATAAACAACAAACGGAGTCTGCGCTGCTCGAAAATGTTCCGTGGGAAGTGCAAGGCGCGCATCAGCCTGGATCCAGACGGCAATATAATATCAGTACATCCTTGTCACAACCACCCGCCACCAATGTATTATAAAACTGCCCAGGGATTGTATATTAAAGTTCAAACTTAATCTTTGCATTATTTATTTCTGCGTTAAATTATTTGTTATGCATCTCAATTTTTAATCTATACATAATGTAAATAAAATTGAAGTATCTATTTCCGTAATATTGAAATAACTAGCTTCCATTAATTTGTCTTAGGCAAATATGGTAATATAACAAGTACCAAGTATATACAACCCTCGTACGTATACTTGTTTGCTGATAGCGCCGATGGTTAGTAGAGGAAGTGCTGATAGTAACGATACTACGAGTTAGTTAAGTTAAATTTCTGAAATAGGTAATGCTCAAATAAAAATCAATGATTATGATATCATAACGTTTAATCGTGACTGCCACGGGTGTAGACAAGTGCAGGACGTGGTCGGCAGAAGTGGAAGGGGTGAGCATCGCTGAATCTCCTGTGCGCGGCTGCTTGGACTTGAACTCCTAAAACACATACACCAGTTATTGATCAAGCAAGTCGAAAAGTTTATTCAGAATTTGACTTGCTGTCACAATACTACCAAGTTGCAGAAACAAAACAGAGGCAAGGGCCGTACAAAACTGGTGCTTGGAAATTGCGAGGCTCGGATCAACCTGGATTTGGGTGGCAATATGATATAAGCACACCATCGCCACAAGCGATACCCACCGGTGTTTTAACTTACCTTTGCAACGTTTATTTCATCGTAGAGCCATTTATACGTGGTAGAGCCATGCTGCAACTATATTAGTAGTATAGTTGTAGCACGAATGGGTCAGCTCAACCGGGGAAGGACCACGCTCTAACAGAATACCAACGTAAAATAGCAGCTTAAGACTGCTGTGTTTTTCGCATGGTGAGTAGAGAACCGGAGATCCTTTTTACTGGAAAAAAGCATTCCATATTAGTCCTCACAGGTGACAACGCATCTGCATTTTGATTCTTTATTAAGAATATCTATATCTATAGATGTCTATGGGTCACAGCAACCACTTACCATCAGGTGCACTGTATGCTCGTTTGTCGCCCTATCC